TGTGTAAGTACAAATGTGTAACAGGACATATATAACTACATTTTGTAACAATATGCATAAGAGTAATTGGAACCATTTGATCCAGGGGGTGGAGATGGGTAGGTTTAGGGGTGGAAATGGGATCCAGGGGGTGAAGTTGGGTTGGTTTAGGGGTGGAAATGGGATCCATGGGGTGGAGATGGGTAGGTTTAGGGGTGGAAATGGGATCCAGGGGGTGAAGTTGGGTTGGTTTAGGGGTGGAAATGGGATCCATGGGGTGGAGATGGGTAGGTTTAGGGGTATGTAATGTGGGAGGAGTTGGATCTCAAGTTGGAGTTGGTGCACCACTGTAATAGCAGTGTACTTACATGGTAACTCCTCAGGAACTGTCCACTTAATGTAAAGTGTAACATTCTGGACATTAACCACAATTTATATGTAAAGCCTAACTTACTGGCCGCTGCTGTGTAACTGAGTAATTACATGATAAATCTAATATAAAGTGTAACACTTTCTTTACCAAAAAATGCTGTTAGTCCTGTTACACATTTGTACTTTCATTACCAAAAAGTGTTGTTACATTTGATCCAGGGGGTGGAGATGGGTAGGTTTAGGGGTGGAAATGGGATCCAGGGGGTGAAGTTGGGTTGGTTTAGGGGTGGAAATGGGATCCATTACTATGTACCAATGTGTACTTACTCTGTGGTTACATACTATGTACACATATAGTTACTATGTAAGTACACAGGTATTAGGGACACAATATAAAGTGGGACCTTTTTTATCTTCTTCTTTTTTTCTCTCTCAAGATTTTTTTTTTTGTAAGTGCTTCATAAATGAAGCTTTTTTTGTTTTTGTTTAAACCTCCCTCATCTGTATTCAGCCTCCTTTTTTCTTCTATTGGCTGCATTTTGTCTTCTTTTTGCTGCACCAAACTGAAATCCTGGTCAGTAATAGTGCTGGCAGGTTTTTGGCATTAGGAATACTTTGCATCACTATGCTGTTCTCCTGCTATGCTTTCCACAGCGTGATGACAATGACTTGGACTCTGTAAGGTTAATAGTTAACCTTTCAGTAGGTTCCTTTATTGCCTGGCAAAGCACCTTTCCTAATTTAAGTTATTGTAATTTTAAAAGCATGGACTCAAGCAATTCAGAGCCTGTGAAGAAATATTCATAGTCTCACAGGTTCCCCATTGGTTTCATCTGACATTCAAGGTGCCCTTGCTTATTCTGATTTTGTATTTCTCAGTAGATTTTTTTTTTCTTCTACTTTATGTTTAATAGAATGGAATGGTGCCCTTTTCAATTTGGGTGTTTTTTACTGATCTGTTATTTTCATAAATTTTGTTCAGGCAGCCCAACCACCACACATCGCAACTTGACATCAAGCAGCCTGAATGATATCTCAGACAAGCCAGAGAAAGATCAGGTGAGTCCAGCTGCATTCATATATATATATATATATATATATATATATATATATATATAGTGTATTTTAAA